CATCTCATTTTGAAGCATTCAGAAAAAGAATTGGATTCGAGACCGTATTGATGAGAATGTAAATATGTAAGGAGGTTGGATTTGGGGGAGGGGGGAGGGGAGAGGGGGTACAGAATAGGATGCACGAATGCTAGAAATGGTCATTTAATAGCTCAAACTAGTATGTTACTATATTTTATAAGAAAGACATCAGCTGAAATACGACACACACTCCAGCTGCATATCTAGAATTCAGAGAACTTAATTGACAACATTTCTGCCTGTTGTCAGCCTATTAGCTTCATATCAAGTACTTAACATTTTAAGAAAGGCAAGTTATCATGCCGAGTCTTGAACCCCGGTTAGCTAAGTTGTTGTAGCAATTTTCAAACATCAAACCTCTTAACGACTAGCCCAACGATCCACTATAATGCTCCAGTTAGCCTTTCGCGTTATCCAATAAACCCCAATACATGTGACATTATACTTCGATGTCATGCGATAATAATCCAAATAGATAGACTTTATTGTCCTTCATTAAATTGCCGCATGACGATGAGAAAGAAAAAGAAATCAACTTTATGTGTATATAGCGTATATACATGTTTGCTAATTTATCCAACAATACTTGTGCCTTTTGGCACACAAAAAAAAAGAGTCTATGAAGTGAAATTCTGTCACATAACATCGGCATAAGAAGAGAGATGATAACAGGGGAAAAAAAATTTAAAACTTTTTTTTGTGTTAGCGACAGCACATTTTCATTTCAGCACATACAGCATGTCTTCTATTCCTCATTCTCTGTTTTATAGATAAATTAAGGATTTGGAATGAGAAATCTAATTTCTTTTGTGCATGCATGTTTATTTCTCTCCAAAAAAAAAAAATACACACAACGGAAAATCACAAAAAAAATTGTTTCAACTTTTTTTTTTCTTCTTTATTTATTTTATATCTCCCTATTCGATCTATCAACTTATTTCCATTCACTATTGTCACACAAATGGAATATATATCCATACATATAGATGTGTGTTATCCATTGCTATTATTTTTGTGTGCATACAATCATTTATGGGAATGAGAGTCGAAGAAACTTTGTCATCTATGTCAATTAACACACAGTTTGGATATAGAAAAAAGTGCAGACACTGTTGAACAGAAAACAACAATATTTAAACATAAATTAATCAGATGTTGCAGTTTCTATCTCAATTTTAAATTAAATTCGACTAATTTATTGTTTATTCAATTTTTCGACATCCCTAGAAAGTAATAAAAGGAGAATAGAGAAAGCAAGTCGGGGAGTTTTTTTTTCATCCATTCTTTTTTCCTTTCAGATGTTATGTCAAGGGATGGGAAGTTTAAATTGAATAAATTATTGCAGTTTTCTTTTCTGTGGATGTGAGTGGAAGAAAAGGGCGGCATGTAATATGAAGTTGCAAATGTTGTGTTATTTTGTGGCATTAATGCTTATTTTGGCACTTTTTTTATCTGACTTAATAATGAAAATAGACTCAATGTTGTATTTGGGGTTGCTTGTGAATGACGTTTAGCATAGAATTGCTTAAAAACCTCTAAAAAATTTCTTTCCACAATCCAAATAAATTCCTACAGCCTGAAGACTTGATGAGTTTCTCTATCTTATCTTAAAAGACATCTTTATAGTTTTTTACACAAATTTAATTTTCCAGCATATCCTTCTTTGAATTTAGATCCCGATGTGTGTACAGCAGTGATGTTCAACCTATGTGCCAGGGAAGAAAAAAATCAGAAAATTCCACGATCAGGATGGTAGTTTTGGTCATGGCTTCCCATCCATGCCATGCCGTGGAACGAAAAAGGTTGTACACCACTGTTGTATAGTGATATTGAAGAAAACTCTAAAATAATTCTGCTTGCAAATTCATCACGCTTTTTCATCAATTTGCCAAATGTCATCAGCATGAAAGTTTTTCCTTCTATTTTTTTTTTATTGAGTTCAAACAATGTGTGTGTGTAGCTGGAGTTATTGAGTGATGTCGTTGAGTTTGTCTTGATGTCTTTGTGAGTTAAAATAGATTTTTGGAAAATGATGCCAGTTAAGGAAAATTAGTGAATAAATTGTAAGGATAAGCTTGGTTTTGTCAAATGAGATATAAAGTAAATTGTACAAAATTACAAATTTGGAATTTTAGATTTTCATATCAAGAAAGGACTCGAATGGCACAAGTCGGTTGATCGAATATTAATCCGGTGACAAGCTGGTATGACGTTGGCTAGCTTCGATTTATATCCACCAGCACGCCAGAGTCACAACAGCTTTATGCTGCATTTCTGATCGATTAATCGACATTTGCCATTTGGTGTAGCTTTCAAAATTCACACATAAACTGTATGCGAAGCTACAAATCTTAAGCCAAACTATATCTCATCAACTCAAAGACTGAAAATGCGCCAAAATCCTCAAAACTTCACATAAAACCCTTCACCTTATCCTTCTTATTTCGATTTTTTTGGAACGTATTATTTTTTTAAAAAAAACTTTTTTTACTTCTTGTGAAAATTAAATAATTGAACCGTCGAGTCTATCCATAGTAGAAAAAATTGGAAGGAAAAAAGTAGAATTTTTCTTCCATGTTTTTTTTTGCCAAAAAAAAGTCATAACATTATTCGAATCACGTTTTCTTCTCTCTACAATTTTTTTTTCGCCCAGCACATGAAAATTTTTTCAAATACAGAACAGCAGAGCATGTACATATATAGTTAGTGTTTATAAGAACGGATGAAAATCTATGTTGCTATATTATCATCATCTCGGTGTGTGCGTTTTTTTATGCTTTTCTAACGTGGTAACGAGTAATATGGAAGAGAGTACATTCTCCTGAAAAAAAGTCGTAAGCGTTGAAAAAATAAAGAGATGTGAAACAGAAGATACGCTCGTGTAAGGTAATTTAATTTTTTTTTTGCTCTTATTTCATGAATAAAAATTGCACGAGAATACAACAAAACAATGAGACACAAAAGTGTTTGAAGGAGAATAAAAAAAACTTTGTAAAAGATTTTATACTTTTCAGAACAAAAGGATGGAAAAAGGAAAGAGTCTTTATCTTTAGTTCCTTTAACAAGGAGGGAGTTAATGGTTCATTCACTTATGATGTTGACTGTAATGGAGAGGCTATGTGGCGCTCTTCAGATAAACCAGGGAAAGAGAAGTGCGACAATCTATGAAAAACTAAGGTTAAGCAGGGATTAAAAGCCGATTTCTAGGAACTGGAGTAAATTACAATCATATTCGATGGGCCATGGGCTATCCTTACAACTTGCCCTTGGATGACATACCATAGGCATAACTTAATCCGATTATTTCTAGCTATTCTAACCTCATTACATCAATGCACCATTACACAGCTATAGCTATAGTCCCTATTCTTTAATTTGACATCACTTCCAATCCCGCATCAAGAACTTATTCAAAAACCGTGAGAAAAAAAACGTGGTTTTTTACACCTTAAGAGAAAATCTCAAAAAAAGCGCTTCCAGCTCCTAATTCTATTACCGCTTTGTACTCTAAAAAAACGTTGGAATCGCATTCATGTTATTAATATTTAATAAGCTGCTACTTATGCAGTTCTCTCTTTACTTTATCAAGCGCGATTCTAGATTATTTATAAAAGAATATCAAGCTATGCTACTTGTGTCGGTGCAATTATGGATATAGAAGGAATATTAGTAGTGATTATGGAAAGTTGAAAATTTCACTACTAAGGTAATTTATGCTGATGATATAAATCTCGTTGAATTTCATGATAACTTTTTGTATCAATATTTGAAGAGTTTTGAGATTAGATTTCAGGTGAGTGTGGGGATTGTCTTGTGTCTGTGAATTTTTGAGTGTTTTGGGAGGTTCTTGCTGATTATTTTGATATTTTGGGTTCTTTGTAGTTTCTAATGAATTTTTATGGACTTCTGGGGTTGAAACTATTTGATGGGGGTGTTGACTTATTGTTATTAGTCTTGGGAAATTCATAATCTGCTTAAATAGCTAGCTGGTAGTGCATAGCTATGAGATTCCTCAATTTTATTCAACTCTTGACTCAATTTTCAAGCCACAACAGATTCATATCGTGATATTTTATAAATCAAACAATTTTACATGATAACCACTTCCAATTTCTTTCCAAAACCACTTCAAAAAAATTTTAATCCGCAAAGTAAAATCCTCAAACAGGAAATTTTGCCTTTGAGAAAATTTTCCACTTAATTCTTTTCGTGGGAAAAAAATCAAGTCTTTCTTTGTTCATTCACATTATGCAGATTATTCCACGAATTTTACCGTCAGTTCACAAAACTCTCCTTCCATTCTCTCAAAAAAAAGAGAAAAAACTTCTTCTTATCGGCATTATGTCATCGATAATCGTGTATTGCATCATGCTACATACACAGTTCATCGAAAATTCACATATTTTTCCACAAACTTATGATTGATCGCTCAGTGTGCATATATATCGACATAATATTTGAACCAGCATGTGACTAGACGGCTATTCCCCCTTTTACATACAAAATATCCACATGACTCATATGTTTTTGAGACGATGCACTGCTGTTCAGCACTGATTTCTATGAGAATTGTGGATGTGGTCGATTTGAGAAATGAAAAATTCAACAGGATTTTTTTAGTCATGCATGAGAATTAAAAAAGTATCAAGATGTTTTTTTATGTGGCTTATGGTAATTTTTGCTAGCGATGAGATGGATGAGCTGTAGAACAACCTGCTCCTTCATAACCCTACTTTTTGATGAAAATTGAATTCTATTAGAGTCATGAAGGAAGGAGGGGATTCGAAAATTGTAAGCTTTAAGGAACAACTTTAAGAGAACTTCCCATCGCGGCAAGTCTACAACATAATGTTTTGATACTTTTGAAAATTATGTAAAATGTTGTAAAAATTTTTGAATATTTTTTAAAAGCAATTTCCAAAGGTTTTTCGTTGTTATTTTATCGCCCTGTCATATAAAAATTTATGTATAAAACTCACCTTTATGCTGTCGTAACAAGCTGTTACTCGACCGTTCTGAACTTCAACATTTGCTGGTGGATGAGCGAATTTGCACTCGGTATCTGGACGTGAACATTTATTTCGTTGAAATTCACGGCAAACTTCAAGTTGCAACCATCGCGAGTCCTTTCCATTTATTAAATTGCTCATGTTTACCATTGCCATGGCTTACAATATTTTTTTTTTATAAAAATTTTTTTCTTTCTTATACACAAAAAAACGAGAATTCTTCTTCTCCTTCCTTCTTTCCTTTTTACTCTGTCTTCTATGTGGGGTCTATGTAAATGATAATTAATTCAATTTTACTTGCGCACCGACTCTAGGTATTAACCGAAAATGTGTTAATTTTATCCAAATTTATGATGATTAAATTTATGGAATATTATTTTAATTAAATTACTTTCTTTCTCTTTACTGAATGCTTATTGTTATTATTTTCACTTTTTCTTATTTTTTTCTTGTGTATTTTAAATGTGAAAAACGCTACCGTAATTATTTCACACTTCCTTTTTCAATTATCACACTGAGTAATTAAATATCTTAATATTATTATTCTAAATATTATTCCTTGACTATAAATATGAAAAAACACATTCAACTTTTTTTTTGTTTGTTCCTTGATCAATTTCCAGGAATTTAAATTAATATGAATAAAATTCTTATCACAAAAAATTTATCGCACACTTTTCTGCTGTTTGAATGTCAAACTTCTGTCACAATAATTTGTTCTTTTTGGTATGTAAAAATCCACAAATATTTTTTTATTGATTAATAATTTTTTGCTATTTTTTTCGATGTGCAAAAAAATATTTCTCACTGAGTTTCTTTTTCGTTGTGCTTACACTTCACACAAAAAAATTGTTTTTCTTTCTTTTTCCTATCAGGGTCAGCAAGTGATAGTGATAAGCACACACAAAGGCGAGAATGATGATGAAAAAATTTGGTACGGAATTTCCTATGTTTTTATTATTTTTTTTTTCTTGCACTTCGGTTTTCTTTTTTCTTTTTGGTGTGTGTATCTGTGTATGTGGGGTGGCTATAAATAAAGATAAAGAAAATATCGTAAAGAAAATGTGATAAAAATAAAAATATATGCCTAAACGATAAAATAGGAAAATTGTATCTTTTCTCTGCCTTTGCCTTTTTTTCTCTCCTTTTTTAAGAGGTAGTTGAGTATGGATAAAGGTTTGTAGTGTCCATGGGTTGTCTGTCCGTCTGTCTAACGGTTCACTAGCTTATCTCTCTTAATATTGGTTTATTCTTTTTGTAAATCGGTCAGTCTTATTGTCACTGGACTTGAAATATTTGCAATCAATAGCCCCTGCATCAAACTTACACTGTCTCACCAGAAGAAAAATTAAATTGCTATAAACTCAATTTAAGTGTCGTTTTTGAAATACTAACATTAGCTTCCAGAGACATTAAGATAATAACAATTAGTCACTTTCTCTACTGCCAATTGCATAAAATCTTAATATTGACTATCTAAAGAAAGCTACACTACCTTGCTCGTGTGAAGTATAAGAATTTATAAAGAAATAAAAAAATCTGATAACTTGAATCAACTTCTTGAGAAGTATAATTTAAAATTTTGTACAAAACTTTTAAACAACTAGGAAACTTCCGGTTACGAAGTATAAGATTTTTTACAAATAACTCAAAAACTCAAAATTGAGTTAAGGGAGTTCAAATAATTTAAAAATTGCTATTGTTTTCCCGGTAAAATCAAGAGTTCAAATCTCAAAGTTTTTCACTTTCTTTTCTTAAAATTAATTCACTTTTTAAATCTAATAATCCTAGTTTCAAAGCTAGTCAGCAATTCATAAAGTTTTAAAAGCTAGGAAGTTTTTTTTATAATTTCAATCTCGATTCTTAATCTACAAAAATATTCGCCTCCGAGCCAAACTGCATGCAGACCTCATTACAACTTATTCATTTCATACTTGATGATAATCGAATGAAAAAAAGAAGAAAAACTTATTCATTCTCATGTCCATTCTTTTCTGGACGTTATATAACTTTCCACTTTTTATTCTACTTTATTTTACATTACTTTACTTTGTTTTTTCTTCTACTTCCTTTACATCTTTCGGCATCAGTCGATCTAGGTATTACGGAATTATGATAACTTTACTCTCGATTGACCGCTGTCAATTTTCCTTTTCACTTGACTATAGCTATAGATATAAAAATATTACTTACAACTATTATTATCTGTTGAATTTCACTTTGTGTGTCTATGTCCAAGAAAAATTAATTTTCTTGATTTTGCAACTCTGACAAAAAATCTAAAAAAAATTCAAATTTTTTTCAACTTTGTCGCTTTGTGTGTCTAAATTAAATATTTTTTACAGCACAAAATTTCTTTCTTCTTATTTATTCTTTTATTTTTTTAATATTTATTCAGGAAGGAATAAAAAATTAATCTGAAATGATGTAAGGTTGAAGCAGGACTAAAATTGTATTGTGAGTTGTGTTCTATTTCTTCCTTACACACAGAATTTTTTTTCAGCTTTTTCTTTCCTTTTTTTGTTCCTCATACAGAAAACATATTTTTCCATTATTCTCATTTTTCCGCAGTTCTTTTGACGAGAATTTTGCTCATGTAAGTGAGAGTAAAGCTATTGAGAGTCAGAGAGTCACAGGATATAAAAGAGAGTCACTCGAAAGTTAGTAAAGCTGTGTTAGTGACGGAGAAAATTTTCATTCCGAGAGAATTTTACTTTTTACGTCTCAATTTACAGTAAAATTGAGCAAAAGGACGATTTTCTCGCAGGATTAAAGAAGAAGAGAAAATAAAGGAAAATTTGTCGCTATGAGGAAGTGAAGAATGGTCTCATACCGATGACTCACACACGACACACAGAAATAGATTGAAATGATAAAAATTCTGAAGGAAATTATCAGAAGAAAAAAAAAAATTTAAAAAAGATTCATCTAGTGGTTGTTGATCTTTTTGTCGGCACCACATTGTTCATCTCTCAACCCCAACCCCTATCTTAATAAAAAGTTTTCATGTTTTATGAATGAAAAATTCATATCGAAATAAATATTTTATTTATAATTCTGTGAATTTCACACTCAACTGATTGCTTTTGACAAATGAGTTGACATTATGATCTCCTTCCTATTTTCTGCTCGTAGCTAGCACACAAAAGCAGAGAAACTTAATTTGAACTCAACAATGGGTTTTGTTTTACTGCTCTAAATATAGGTAATTGAGGTTTATTTATATTATGACGTGAGAAAAAAGTATTTATTTTTATACTCGATAAAAGGTTTTGATAATTGGCCATTCGTCTGAGAATGTAAGCAAAGTAACTGAAATTATGGCACGTGGAAATTTTATTTTGTTGATTTTGGAATCGAATTTTGCATCACAGACTGTAGTTTTTGAATTTTTAAGGTTAAATAATTTTAAAAATTGAAGCTGTTAATATTAGTTAAATGAATGAACTGTCAATCAATATCTGAATTGTTCTATGAATCATGTTCAATTGATTTTCGTGGCACCAAACCTATCATGTGGTTAAATAGTTCAATTGCGTATTGATGTTGTCCATCGGTTCTTAATTACTGCATCACAAATATATCGACTATGAATAAAGCAAACAAAGTGCTTGTACTGCAGCACAAGATCATCTAGACTCAGCATAGCATCTTATTTTAAATAAATTAAGCTCTCAATTTTTATAACAGACTTAAACAGGGAATGTCATCAAAAGAGGAGTTCAATTCCTACTTTTCACTGTTGATTTAATTTTGAGTGGCTATACCAATCGACTTTAAACTAATTGAACTCCATTGGGTTATGTAAAACATTTAAAATTCAATGTCATATGATTTAAGATTTGATAGATCGTGATTTAAATGAATGTAAGAAAGATCCGATCGGCACACATTTAAAACGGCCGGGTTGATAGTATAATTAGAACCAGCCCGGTAGCCGCTTGAAAGCCATTTCCAATCAGATGCCACATGCCTGAATTTCAATAACTTTCAATGTGTGACGATCAGAGGATTGTGCCATGAGTCTTAAAATCATGCTAGAATGACTTGAAAGTAATATTACATTTTTGGAAATTTATGGTTCAATTCCATAGTGATCAAGTAGCTACTTGATTGATAAGTTATGATATCGAGCAGGGTTCTAATAAGTTCGAATCTCAACTTTGTATCATTAGTGAAATGACATCAGTGTCTTAAGTGGTAGAGCGTTTGCCTTACTTGCCAAAGGTTCTGGGTTCAATCCTAGGCCAAATCAAGTTTTATAAGCTATTTTTCCATTTAACCGTTCTAGTTGCAAAGCTCGGTTTGTGTACTGGGTATAATTTTGATATCTTTGGCACATAGCGTGTATCCTTTCCTAAAAATACTAGCATCTGCATTTTGACGCAAAATGATCTCATGGAAAATCTTAATCTACGCCATCTTACTAATATCTCTTCTAATCCATACTCATTAATGAGTTAACTCAGCATCTAACCCTCTTAATAAATTAACAAATTCTTCCTAAAAAATTAACAAATCATCATCACCAAATCAATCAAACCTTAAACAGGAATCAAAGCGCAACAAACCACGTTCCACAAAAATCCGAATAATTTAAAAAAAACCAAAAAAAAAATCCTTTTAATTTGCATAAAATATTTTATCTCGATCACAACTCGTGTCAATAAGCCAATTACTCTTCATTTTGACATCAAAAAGAAAAAAATAATGTTTTATTAAAATTTAATGATTTTTAGCAACAAGAAGCAAATAAGTAAGTGAAAATCATAAAACAGAGCAAAAATTTGTCAAAGGAAAATTCCATAGGCGGAAGTTGAATATTCAAATAACTTTTTTCAGGTGAGAACTAAATCCTCTTATACATTATTTATTCATTTCAATACACAGTATCACGAAGGTAGCATAAAGTACACTAATGGACGTTTATTAATAAAGATTAATTGAAAGAAATCAGAAAGTTGTGATTGGAATATTTGATTTTAGCTATTGACACTTGTATAATTCACAAAATGTCTCTTTATACTTGAGGCCATTTGTTCAGTGTGCTTGTGTACCGATACGCATTGGAGGATTTTCGCAAAGCTTAAGATCCCGTTATTAATGATGAAGTTTTGTTATCACGTACGCAACGCGCTGTAGCAAACTTTGTCGCA